GTTGAATAGGTAAATTCTCTTTCTCTCAAGCGTTAAGAAGCAAGTTTTGACAACCTATGGCACAATAGCGCAGAAAAGGGCTGTGCAGAACTAGTAGTTTGTGAAGTTAGTTTTCAGAAGACCTCTTTTATTAGTATGGTATAGCTTGGTTCTTCAATACTAGAGCCTCTGAAAGCTTACCTTATCTTATCGTGGTGCAATTTAACTATGAATGTCTAGTTTTGTTTATGTTGCTCAACTAGTCTTGAGTTTTAACTTTGTTACAACTGATATGGCATTCATCTATGCCTTAATCTCAAGCAAAGTTTGGAAAGCTGTACGAATCCTCTGTAACCATCGGTTAGAGTAGTTATCAAAGATTGACTAACCTTCAGCAACTCAACTCTTTTACTGGATTGGACTGATTATGCTTTCAAGTAAGTGCAGTTAGCTTTCTTACACATGATAATGTCACTTACCTTGCAGGTTCGCTTAATGAACTTTTCAACGAAGGGAAATGATTCCCTCACTAAATGGGCCATTTTTCCAGCAGGATCTGCAGACTATATGCTAAATGCCACTGCAATGGTGACTCAGCATTCTAGAATATTTATTGCTATCCTTTGAGTTGAAGAATGTTTATTTATTCATTGATATCTGTACGCAGGAAATAATTGGCAGGTTGGCTGAAAATCATCCCCATCTACAGCATTCCTTCGGAAGTTATAAATTGTTTGACTGGGTCATTGAACCTCCACCAAAAAGGTATACAAGCAATTACTGCTGCCTCTCTCACTAATTCATCTGCTTGTCTTCCCCTTCTGGTCTTTTTTCTCTTTTAGTGTTGTTTACCCTTCCTTTTCCATGTTAGATCCATCTCCTTCTCCAGGAGATAAATATGAAGTGGTGAAGTTGACTTGCTAAATTGTCACTTTAAAGCTTGTTTGTGCAGGTTAAGATGATTTTGTGTGCTTGGGTATCTGCATTCTTGTTTATCCTCTTTTGTCTACAAACATTAAAGTAACTCGGAAGAGATTGTCTGAAATTTTCATTAAAAATATTGCTAGACTATTATCATGTAAATTAGGCCAGACAAAAAACAAGATTGTCCAGTACTTCTCTATGCTGTAACATTAAACTATTTCTATGGAACTTATATAATAGACATGAAGGCATAAAAGAGGTCATGCTATCTTAATTGATTCTAGTATTTTATGAGAAGTATACTTTTTCAGCCACAACGATGATTATCAGGTTTGACTGAAATTGAATACTTGGAGTATTGATTTAGCTTGATTTCTAAGAAGAAATATGTTAACGTGTATTCCTAGTTCCCAGTTGACCAGTTCTAATTTTAGTAAAATGGTCAATATGAAGTTGAATAAAAGGTTAGGCCATAGTTTAAATTGTGAATTTCAGATATTAGGGACTCTAATAGGATGTATGCTTTGAGCTGTATTATAAAAATTGTGTAAAGAAATTGGACAGCATCTTGAGGCCCATATTGAAATCACTAAATTTAATTAATTTCAAATGGAATGATTACCTGTTGAGGATGTGGCACTTTGTTTTATCTTCTCCTCCTCTATGTTTTCATTTTCCCTAAAGAGTGTGTCTCTCAATTAACATTGTTTCTGTTAAGTGCTGCTTGTGTTATTATTGCAAGAACAGTGAAATTAGAGATAATATTGCATTAAAAATCTGGATTTATTGGAATCACAAAACTAGGTGCAAATCAGGGCTGTCCTTTTGCATTGTCCGTGAATATTTTGGTGAGAATTAGAGTGGCCTATGTAAGTTAACTACTAAGTATGATATAACATTCTTGATTTGACATGGTTCTAATGTTTTAGGAAGCTTTGGCCGGGAAATTACTTGGTTCTAGTGGTTGCATTAGTTGTTTTGGTAGTTGGATTAGCAGCTCCAGTTGGATGGTTTATTTGGAGGCGGAGGCAAGAACCCACTCTTCCATATGGACCAGTAGGAAGAGTTGAAACTGTTACTCATGATCAAGAACTGCAGCCGCTAAAATGAAATGAATTATTTGCCTCGGATGGTTCATCATGCTAAAAAGGAATTTTTGAAGTGGAAGTGCCGATCTTTGAACCTTAGTTTACATGTTGACAAATATGGTCAAACGTGAAGAATTATACCTGGTCACAGATGTCAGTGTTCCTTCGGGAATAGATGTATTCTTGTTAAAGAAAAGAAAAGGAACTGCTGCTTTCGAGTAATGTCACTTCCATATGTGAATGTTTTAGATTTATATTTTAGATGACACGAAATAGGTTGCCATTGCTGTTGTACTCTCTCTCATTCTGTGTTGCTTCCGTTCCATTCTTCAGCTTGTTGAGGATACTCTTCTTCTCTCTACTTGAGGCTCACTCTAACGTTCTTCCTCTCTCTACTTCAGGGTCACTCTAATCACGCGCATGCACAGACACTCTCTCCGCTCTAGGCCTATTCATCAAAATTGCCCGAAATGCAGCAAAAAGTCCAAAACTTTCAAATGTTAATGTGCAAAGCAGCCAAGCACAAATAACCTGAGAATTGAAAATGCCACCAAAGTTTTTAAGCATATCGACCCTTACACGTTGCTAACTCCCCATTTATAATACAGTAGTAGTAGTAACAATACATATAGCTAAGCAAAGTGAAGACGCTGTCGTCGTTTGGACGTATCATGTATGCACGGAATATGATAGAAAAAGCATATACTAGTTGATAGCCAAGATCACTGATTGACTACATTCTGGCTGAATTAAAATAGTATTTCCTTCGTTTCAGTTTACGTGGAGATGGTTGACTAAATATGAGATCTAAAAAATTAAAGAGAACTTTTGACTTGTAAGCCAAATATATACCAAGTACCAGAATTATCTTTTTAGAGAATATATCTTGGTGAGAGTTCCATTTCTCTTTCTTTTTGAAAAAAATGAACTTTAAATCCTAACAAGTTATATAACTACGGGTAAAATGGAATGCTAAGATCAAATAGTCAAAAATAGAAGTGTATCATTCTTAGTGAAATATACTACACAAAGGAGATAGATATCACATAAAATGGAACACGGGGAGTACCATTCAAGTTAAGTGCTTTCTTTTTGTATGCGAAGTGCATCAAACGACACTAGCTAATATCTTGAATGCCATTGTTTATAATCTCGTCTTCCAATATGAACATTTTTTTAAACCTCAATATAAACATTTTAAATAGTGAACATTTCAAATATATTGTGTCTTTTATAAATTGCGCACTTTTCAGTGTCTTCATAGGCTCGAATATATATTTAAATGTATTGCGTTTCTCCATCACGCTGTGGTTGTCTTCAAGTCGGATGTAGCTCAATTTGTAAGCTCTCAGATACGTACACTAATTTATAAATTCTCCAGTCATATAGTCCCTATTTATTAATTAGTCTGCCCCTCGGCTTACCTACAGCCATTAATTAATCACACTTTCCTGTATCTCTCTCTTTTGTTCAGTTTGGAACTAAGATCTCTAGTTGATGATGAGTGTCTTTTTCTAACATTCGCTTTTGAAAGACATTGAAAAAAAGAATTTGGAATGACATTGCATATATACTTTCAACTAAGACTTGCATGCAAACGCCAACTCTAGGCTGCTGTCCCTCAACTATTACATTTAATTATCTCTTAGTTCACATGTATAGGTCCACTGCATACTCATGTGGCTTTACAATAGAAATTAACAACTGTTACCTATAAAAAACGACTGTTACCTCATCTCTTAATTCACTGATTGATCTATTGCATGTACAACGGGAGATATTTGTTAACATCGATCTTAAATCCTTCCATATTTTATTCATAGTTTTGTCAATATATTTATTCATAGAAATCCCACCCGTGACAAAGCAACGACAGTACACTAAGTAATTAATTTAATACTCTACTATTATTAGCAATGGTACTGGACCATGCATGCTGCGTTGTGGTATTTATAAAGTTGGAGTTTTGGTTTTCTTATGTAGTGCAATTTCCTTTGCAATTACAATTGAGCATGGCACTAACCATAAGAGTTGTTGATCTCTTTGTTCTTTCTTTGATTATTTTCTTGGTTATTCAAGAATATTCTCAGAAAATCGATGCTCAAGTACTAATGCTTCAAGCTCCACTATTGATACAACGCAAATTTGATAAAATATATCAGTTTCGTGAGTCACTTTCTGATACAGGCAACTTCATTAGAGAAAGCCTCATTGGTGCTCAATCAATATATGCAAGACTTCCTTATGGAATGGATTTCCAGGGGGACCTTCTGGACGTTGTTCTAACGGCATACTCATGATTGATTTCATAGGTATATAGTTTTTTTTTTCCTTGGCGATATTTCATTCTTCTCTGCTTATGTTTTCAAGAATATTATAAACTAAGTTGACTTAAATTAAGTACACTAAGGGAACGTCATTTGGTTTAGAGATAAGTCATGTTGGGATTAGGTATGTTGTGATTTACATTCTTATTCCATTCTATCTCACATAATATAATATATATCTCCTAACATAACTTATGCATGTATTATTTACGAGAACAACAAAAGTAAGCAATACCCCTACAAAATAATACTAGACTTTAATGTTGGGATTAAATCAGAGGTGGAACGAGGATTTAAACCTTGTGGGTTTCGGACTGTATTCTTTTTAGTTACTGAGTTCTAAATTAATAATTTATACATATTTAATGAATTTTTTAAGATTAATATAGGATGTGAACAAAAACTATTGGGTTCAGCCGAAATCGCATCCCACACTCTTACTCCGCCCCTGCATTGAATCCCTTCAAACCTCAACCAAAGGACACCTAAGTATATACACTTTTTACATTATCTATGACTATATGTAGTTCGGCCTATAGTAATAGTTTTCAGACTACTTGCCATTTTTATCAAGTTATTAATTGCTAGTGTAAAATTTATTATAGAGATTTATCTATGATAGTATTATATATACATTTTATACAATTAATGTATAGAACTTAAACTCTTAAAAATTGGTACGTAATAGAAAAAGGTTTTTTCGTTTCGCTAATGAAATACAAGTCTTTTTTTTTTTTTTTTGCAGTAGCAGGAGCTATACTACTGCTTTACCAGCTGAAGTCATGGCAGAGAATAAGATTGTCGATTGGGGGACAAATAGTTCATTAAATGTGCAGCTTGATCGGATGTCTTCTCATTTCAAAACCACCTTCCCCGCTGGCAATTAATTACTACTTTGTTAAACACTTCAAGGAAATTAACAGCAAGTAGCATTAATTTTTGTGTTTTGTTTGTCCTGGCTGCTAGGTTGCCATGAAAACCTAAAGAACTCTCTTTTTCTAGTTGGAGAAATAGGAGGAAACGATCTCAATTTTGGCTTATTTGAAGGTAAAACGGTGGAAGAGTTGAGAGTCATGGTCCCAGAAAATATTCAGACCATTATTAATTTTGTTAAAGTGAGTTTGCTTTCACTTTAATTTTGGGATAGCCTTTTAAGTTATGTTCTTGTATTTGAATATAGTTTTATATTTTATAATTACTACGTGACGAAAGGTTTTCTAGTTACCACTTTAATTTCTTGACTATTTTTCTGTTTTTTGTTGAAATTCTAATGAATTCAGAGGGTCATTGGTTTTGGGGCAACTCGAATGGTAGTCCCGGGCAATTTTCCAATTGGTTGTTTACCAATTTACCTAGCGAAATTCATGACCAATAACACAACTGCCTACGATGAGTATCATTGCTTGAAAATTTTAAATAATTTGGCAATCTTCTACAATCATCACTTGCAACAAGCCATTGATGAACTGAAGAAAGATTATCCAAACATTACACTGATTTATGGCAATGCCTATTTGTGGCTTTTACAAAATGCTGCAAGTCTTGGTAAGTGCTCAAAATATCAGTTTGTTACTATATCTTTTTATATGTCTTAAAAAAATTCATCTTGATTGAAACACATTGCAGGACTTGACAAAAACTTATTACAGAAAGCTTGTTGTGGATTAGTAGATTACAATTATGACGCAAGTGCAATATTAATGTGTGGAGCTCCAGGAGTTGTAGCATGCGCTAACCCTAATGCTCACATCAGTTGGGACGGAATTCATGTAAGCAGAATTGTTCTAACTACTAGTCACTAGTAGTACTATTCCTAGTTGTAGTAAGAGTCAATTAGATCGTTGACATTGGCCTGGTTGGACGCCTACTTTGTCGTACCAATTGGCCTGGTTGGACGCCTATATTCTCTTTTTCCACTTGTATCTCAGTTAACACATTATCGTACCAATTGCAATCGACCATAGTCTTGCTTGAACTGGTAGAAACATATAGTAGTATTTATTTTTCCCATGTGCTGTGGAAAATAAGGTCACTAGTTACTACATTGTTACACGAATTAAAGTCCAAAAAGGAAATAGGTAATAAACAAAACAAGACAGATCTGGTTAAGGATATCAATTATTAAGCGTACACTCAAACATTGACATGGTGATGTTATCACACAAACAAGAGATACATTTTTGCAGTAAGCAGCAAAGCCAACTGCAAAAATTGCCAATCTTTAGCTAAGCTAGTCCAGTTCTTAGTCACTTTTGACAAGACCAATTAATCCCCCGGTTTAGAAGTAGGCTTACACCTAATGCATGCACAACGAACATCAACGTCTGATCCGCATGGTCTATTGCACCTTGTCTTTTTACCAACTTGAACAAGTTTCAGCTCAATCACTCCAACATCCATGCGTATAATGTCTCGCATTGCCATTACTTGCACTTTTGGTGAGCCGCCTGCCAGTACTATTAATTGCAAGAATAGTTTTAAAAAAGAAATTCAGAAAAGACACATATGCTTGTATAAATTTGAATGGCGATGAAAGAAGGAAGGTAAATTAAAGTTATCAACCAGTAGTTGCAACAAGGACGGCAATCAAGAAAAATGCAAATTTCAGTTGTGGAACCATTTCTGATGCTACAGATGAATGGGGAAGAATTTATTTTTATGGTAGTGTTGTTATCTCTTGATTAGTAGTTGCATTTATAGACGACACCCATTATAGTAAACTATTCAATTTTATTTAATATCTTTAGGGACAAAAAGCATCTAGTGGAACTTATAATAATTCATCGTAGCATTAGTTAAGCATTTATCAGAGTTGGTACTGGAGACAGAATAATCAATCTGCACAATGTCATCACGTGAACATGCAATGTTTTTGATTTAACAAATTTCTCACCATTTTCATTGCTTTAAATTTCAGGAGAGTTTTATGAGTTAAGTATTTTAAAACAGGAAAAAAATATCCCTGGAATCGAGCAAATCACATGCAAAAGTGGGCGGTACTGAAATTTGTAAAAATAGCACGTTATAGCCAGTTGTTGGACTGGTCATTCAAAAATAGCCAGTGTTTACCAAGTCAATAAAAAATAGCCACTATTTTGCTGCAACAGAGTCCGGTCCAGCATAATATACCGGAGTTTGGTGCACCTGTGTATTAACTCCAGCATATTATGCAGGACCGATATACTTTGCTGGCTCCAGTATAATATACTGGAGACTGGAGCACCGATGCTCCAAACTCCAGTATATTATGCTGGACAGATATACTTGCTGGAGTTCTAGTGTATTTATCTTATGCTGGAGTTCCAGCATACTTATCCTGGAACTCCAGTATAATATGCTGGAGTTCAAGTATACTTATGCTGGAACTCCAGCATAATATACTGGAGTTTGGAGCATCGGTGCTCCAGTCTCCAGTATATTATACTGGAGCCAGCAAAGTATATCGGTCCTGCATAATATGCTGGAGTTCAAGTATACTTATGCTGGAACTCCAGCATAATATACTGGCGTATTTTCCGGGGTTTGAACAGTGTTTTCGCTCAGATTTATCTTTATATGAAAAGTGACTAAATTTCGATTACTTTTGAAATTGGGCTATTTTTGAATGACCAGATGTAAATCTGGCTATTTTTGAGTTTCTCCCCTGACATTTGTGTCGTCTTATTCCCATATTTGCACATCGGGTTAATCCATCTTTTCATGTTGTTGCAAACAGTCCCCTACAACTTTCCTCTGCAGAAAAATATAGAGAAATTTTCATAAAGCACCATCTTTTAGTAGTAATTAGTCATCTATAGATACCATTTTCTATATTACGGATTATAGATACCTTTTCTGTGGTTATAAGATGTATTTAAGCTATTGTATTCATGAATACAGTAGCAAAAATAGGCGTGAATCAGGGAAGTCCAGCTAATCAGTTGTTGTATTCGAGTGTATTCGACTGTATTCATGGAGTGAAACATGAGATTACAGCTTGACAAATTATTGTATTCGACTGTATTCATGGTGTGAAATAGGGGATTACACTGTTTTTAAAACGAAAAGTGAATCAATTAACATAATAGACTCCTAATATAACTCAACAAACTCAATTATAACACACAAATTTTGTATTTTCAGTTATAAAAAAGATTCTCAACCGAAAAATACCCCAAAAACATAGCAATCTTCAGAGAAATTATATAATACATCTGAATACGTAAATTATATTAATTAAAAAAAACTTATGAATACATTCATGGCATATAGCGAGATAATGAATACAATGAAATACATAGAATACAGCGGAATACATTGAAATACAATGAAAAAAAGACAATGAATACAGTGAAATACATGGAAATACAACGAGATACATTGAGATATATTCACAAAAAATTCAAGTTGCTCAGCCCCAAACTCCGTCGTCTTTGTTCAAGAACAACCCTAATGTCGTCTCGTCGAGCTGGAGGATAAGCATAACCAAATCAAGAACCCAATAAAGAAAAGGTCCCTTTTTCCCTAGATTCCCTCTTTTCCTCTCAATTTCTACTCCAAAATGGAGAAAATCGCTATTTCTACTCATTTATGCCCTAGCCTTAAGCCTTTCAATTCTAATTCAAGTACAGATGTAGGGTTTTCCTTGCCTTGCCTCACTTTTGTATTTTCAAATCAACGCAGAAAGATATTGGCTTGAACAACTTCAGTTGAACAACTTCGTTTACTCCTATTGGTCTTCGAATATTTCGTAAGGAATTTGGTTGTTTTATGAAAGGGAAAGAATCGTTGGCTAGACAGAGAAGAGGAAGAAAATCGGAAATTTTAATAGGATGGGGGAAGAGAATGGAATGTATCAAAGTAGAGAGAGAAAGAAAATATTGTAACTGATTAGCTTATTTAGTGGCTTAGGGCTAGGAAGTAACCAAAATTAAATATTTTGCTATAAACTTTAAAAAGTATCTATAGAATATAATTTATTCAAATGGTATTTATTTAAAATAAATAAGGTGTTAACCTTTGCTATAGGAGGTAAAAATTCCAAAAATGTACTCAAATAAGTAGAAATGGAGAAGTTTATTATGGGATAGATGCTTTGAATATCTCGTCGATATAACAAGTGCAATTTCAATTTAATTAAATCTCAATCAATTATTTGAAGCTATACGTATTTCAGAAAATAAAAAAGCATTTTAAATTCTAGTTTACAGGTGAAATGAATAATCTTCAACTTTAAAAAATTATCATTCTAGTTTTTTTTTGTTTTTGTTTTTGTGTGTGTGTGTGTGTGTGGGGGG